ATATGTATATAATTTGTCTTAAACCTAGACTAACATACCGTCTTCGCTCAGAATCGTTTTTCTTATACAATGATATTGTATCATTGAATTCAAATTTAAAAGCATCCATTATACAGTGACCCACTTGTAACCTACTGTACAGCAGAGCGACATCCACTTACCCATCTTTTTATGATTAAGGTTTTAAACAACTATCTACATAATATTATATATATGCAAGATGTCCTTTTTAATATTTAAATCAATGTTATTAGTTATTACTAATCTCGATAAAAAATAAAATTATTTTATTTTATTCCCATACCCAATATTACACATTTCCTGTGAAATATAATTTTGTACTTAGTTTTGACTTTTGTTTTAAAGTCCATTTTCAATTTTCAATTTACAAAATATTTAAAACCTTAAAAATACGCCCACGAAAATTATACGCCCGGGGATAAATCCCCGATTTCCCCCCCCCCTAGATCTGGCCATGGTTACATAGTTGAAATAGTAGTACCTATACAATGATAAAATATATTTTGTACAAACAAACAAATGAATTGACAGTGATTGTAAAACCGTTATGAATACATAAAACCGTGTTTTGAATAATTAGTTAAAAATGCTATAGTTAAGTTACAATATATGTACATGACATTATATTTTTTGATGAACAATTTAATAGTTAAATTACAAATTATTTGTTATATAAGCAATTCAAAAGTTAAATTACAATTATGTACTTAACATTATATTTTTTCTATAAAAACAATTTAATAGTTAAATTACAGTTATACACATTATAATATATTTTAGATTCTGAGTGGAACGATGAATGTATTGATTTTACAATGATGTGTGTTTTTTTTTATTTTTATTTTTTTGTGTCTGTGTACACGATAAGTAGGTAGTAAAAATAAAGCTTCGATTTTAAACTCCAGTATCTTGTTCGATTGGAAAGTGAATATAGTTGGTGCATTAGGAGGTCAAAATTTAAAATTCCCAGTAATTTTCTAAAGCGCTAAGAAAAACCAAAGAAAAATTAAGGAAAAACGGGAATTTTTACGCAAAATTGAATTTGGTTTTTGGTGTAGGTAACTTTAAAAAAATGACCGTAGATACATGAAATTTTCACTGGTTGTTTATACTTGCATTTTCTATACACGATAACATTTTCAAAATATTTTGATTTATTTTGAACTGTTTAGGGACATTTTCATTTTCCGTTTTTTTTTAGTTTTTTTTCTAAAAACATCAATAACATTTTATTTGTTGGTTGCGAGAGCTTGAAAATTGTATAGAAGGCTCCTAGTATATTGTTTCAAAGGCAGATGAAAAATATTAAAAATCCTTAGTCACAATTTTTTTTTTTATAAGCATTTAAAGTTGACATCATATGATCAAAAATTGACAAAATATGGAAAAATCACTAAAATTAGCAAATTATTTTGAGTTAAGAATTCATAAAATTTTTTCTTTTTAAATCTAAGATTTGAAAATGTAATACAAGATTACTCATAAGTTTGACTACCTTTAACAATAGAAAAAATCTCTACCGGAAAGTCAAATTAAATTTTTATGAGCGTTTGAAATTCAAATTTTTACAACATTGGATATTCACTCGATTTCTCATGTAGCGATTTCCTTATTTTGTTGTAATTCAAAAACGAATAATTGTAGATACATGAAAACTTCACTGAATGTTCATATTAGCATTTCCTATACACTGTATAATTTTTGAAATATTTTGACTCTTTTTGAGCTGTTTACGGACATTTTTAGTTTTCAATTTTTTTAGTTTTTTTTTTTATAAATATCAATAAAGTTTTATCCGTTGGGCCAAAAAGTGTAAAAATTTAATACAAGGCTCCTGATATACATATTGTTACAATAGCAATTGAAAAATATCAAAAAGACATACCCACAATTTTTTTTTATAAGCATTTAAAGATAGAATTTTGACAGAATTTTTCAAAATCTCGAAAATTATTAATCATCGTAATTAATAAATTAAAAAATGTTCAGTTTTTATAGCTAAGGATTGCAAATTTAAAACAAAAGTTCTCATAAATAGTTCATACTGTAACCAAAAAATCTAAAAAATATATCAACACAGTTATTTTTTACAGACATTTAAATTCAAATTTGGACGAAATTACATATTAAAAAACCTAGAATAACTATTTTACTTATTTGTTGTGAATGTATAATATTATTCGTGGGTACTTGAAACTTCTAAAGTGTACTATTACATATATCTATGATAGTATCACGGTTTTTGTTGATGTATAACGCGTTATAAGTACCTAATGGATATTGTGATATCATTAATTTGGAATTTATTAAAGGTACCTTATTATAGATATGTATATAATATGTCTTATACCTAGACTGACATACCGTCTCCTCTCAGAATCGTTTTTCTTATACAATGATATTGTATCGTTGAATTCAAATTTAATATCATCCATTATACAGTGACCCACTTGTAACCTACTGTACAGCAGAGCGACACCCACTTGCCCACCTTTTTTCTTATATTATTATTAATTATTCCGATATCGTAATAATTAGTTTTTTTTATCATACCCAAATAGTTCGATAATTCAAGTAATACGGCTTATTGAATCGGTTTACAGCAAAACTACCTATTATAAAAATTGTAGAGACGAATTTTTTTAACAATCTTAAGAAGCCCGTTTTTCGATATTTTTATTAATTAGTTGAATAATTAATGGATAAAAAGTTAAAAACCGTGTTAGTTTACCATGTGATATTGGACGATTAGAATACGATATCAAAAAACGGATTTCTTACGATTGTTAAAAAAATTGTCCTCTACAATTTTTATAATAGGTAGTTTTGTTGTAAGTCGCTTCAATACGCCGTATTACTTGAAGAACAAAAGTATAGTTTTTATTAGTATAAAATTCGGATAGGAATAGAAAATATAAAACAAACCAAATTAAATAATATTTGTCACAAATATAATAATCATTTTCTTATCTGGTTATTTATAAACTATGTACAGGCGCACGGCTGCGATAGCAAACCTGTTTTGACCATTGTGCGGCACTGCCGTTACGCGCGCGGGGTGGTGGTATGAACACCTAGTATCGAGCGCTGCCGCTGGCTGTAACGGGCGCAGCACATGACGAGCGTAATTAAACGTTTTTTTTACCGAAAACATGGTTTCGTACTTCCAGGAATACGGCTTATTGAAGCGTTTTACAGTACAAATACCTATTACAAAAATTGTAGAGGAGAATTTTTTCTAGAAACGTAAGAAGCCCGATTTTTGATATCTTGTTCCAATCGTCCAATATCGCATGGTAAATAAACACGTTTTTTTAAACTTTTTATCAATTAATTATTTAACTAATTAATAAAAATATCGAAAATCGGACTTCTTACGTTTCTAGAAAAAAATCTCCTCTAAAATTTTTGTAATAGGTATTTATACCGTAAAACGCTTCAATAAGCCGTATTCCTGGAAGTACGAAACCATGTTTTTATGCCATATTTTGTCTACTGTGACATCCTCTTAATATTAACTTGTGGTTAATTTCTAACTTTGTTAAATTGATGGACAATTTTTAATTAACTTTTAATTGTTAACTACATTTAGATTTTAATTTAACTTAACTTAACTGAGTTCAAAAATATTGTTAACTTGCAACAAATGTAACACAAATGTATTATGTAGGTACCTACCACAAATTTTATTACCAACGATTTTGATCTTATATAACTTACAAGATTTTTCTGGATCAATGGCATTAAGAACTCAAGGGGACAACCTCAAGTGGGTGTGAGGTTGATCCAAGAATTAAAACAAGACCCACAAAACGAATTTTCCATATCACAACTCGATTAGTAGATAATCATAATATTACTTTAAAATCACCCAGTTTAAAAAATCATCAGATTAAATTGTTAGTTGACACGGGTGCGGATCTGAACATTATCAACATCAATGCTTTAAAGGGAGATATTGAAATTAATGAAAAAGAAAAAATTTATTTATAGATAATAGAGCAATTGAAACAGAATAATATGTAGTTAAATAAAAGTAAAATAGAAAACGATAATAATATTTGTTTTACATTGCAACCACGTTCAGAAACAGTAGTACAAATCAATATAGCAGATAAGGCAATGAATAATAAAAATATATTAATTAATAAACAAGAATTATTACTAGATGTAATTTATAATTATACATTGTGGGAATATTTATAATAAAGTTAAAAACGGAAAAGTAACGATAAGCGTGTTAAATATATTCGAAACGACGCAGGATATAAATGTAGGTCAAGTACGTAAAATATCATACGAGAATGACATAGTTACACATTGCGATTACACACACATTCCAACGCGTGACATAGAACGCAAGCGAAAAGTGAGGGCGTTGATACGTACGGATCACCTTCAAGTTCATGAACGTAAATCGATAACAAAACTCTGCGAGGATTATTCCGATATTTTTCATTTAGAGGGTGATAGTCTTACGTGTACGACACGAAGATGTAATAAAAGTTCCGAAAGATTTGAAACCAATTTATAAAAAACCGTACCGTTTACCATTTTCCGGAAAATAGGAAAACCGGAAATAGAAAAACAAATAGAACAAATTATGAAAGATGAAATTATTGAAAGATCAATGAGTCCGTTTAATGCACCACTAATTTTAATTAAAAAATTGGTTGTCTGTAAAGTCGGTTTACTGACGATAGTTGAACGTGATAACGTGTTAAGAAAATACTGAAGGAATGGTAGCATTTTTCAAAAGTAAATTTTTTATTTCATTTGTTTAATAGATTTGTATGTATATAGAGAAGGAGGTAAATGGAAATCACAATGGAATTGATCAAGTTACATTTATTTGTACGCATAAATACAATTAATTATGTCAATATTTTTTTTTTACAATTTAATAGTTTTTAAAAGTATGAATTGTAAAAAGTGCGTTGAGCAATTGTTTTACAAATTTTAAACAAGTGTGATATATTTTAACTTCTTCCAATTTGTGTTATTCTGTTGAGAATAGGACGATGATAGGAAAAGTAGGAAATGAAAGGGAGTGTTTCGATTTTAATGTGTCTTGAAAAAGTCAAATCGATGGTGGTGCCTCCTAGTGTTGTTGTGTTATTAATATCTGATGCACAATCGACATTAAACATGTCATTCATGAATTTGATAAATGTTTCGTCATTTTTCACGTTTGTGTTGAAGTCGCCACAAAGAAGAATTGGTACATCGGTATCAACTTCCATGATGGGATGTACATACTGGCTGTTGTAAACATACGGAAATAGTGCTTGATGCAGCAGAACACTGATGTTAGAAATACTTGCTCCAGGATGAATATAAACTGCGCCAAGAATCATTTTGAACATGGTATCAGCGGTGAAGCATGTAACTTCTGCTAAGCAAACGTTACCAGTGTTTTTAATAAGGCGGGTTGTATTCGTAAGTTCAACGTTCAGAATTTTGGCCGTGGATGGTCGATGATAAGTTTCTATAAATTGCCACTCCACCTGCTGCATTTGTTTCAGAATCTGATCGATTATTCTGCCGGGTTACACATTCAAAATGTTCAATTGAAATTGGATCACAATTGTCACGCATCCACGTTTCAGTCAGAATCAAATAATCAGACCTTGGAATCACTGTGTCTTTTTCAATATCTGTAAAGTGAGCAGGCAAACTCTGTGAATTAAGGTTCGTTATTAAAGTTTGTCCTGCATTATTTGAGTCATTACAGAATTTTACTGCATTATCTGTAATTGTTCGAAGTGTGTGTCCACGAAGTCGAATGTATTCGTTACGGATATCTCTTGTTGTCTGTGAATCGTTTCCCTCTCGTCCGTGTTTAAACCGAAATAGAGCATCTTTTTCGGTGATAATATGCAAGCCTTCTAAACTTGTTACCCGACTCAGTGCCACGTACACCAACTGTTGCGGTTGCTTGGGTGAGTATTTATAAACAATGACAGCAAACGTCCCGCCTTGTGACTTGTGAATAGTGATGGCACAAGCAGGAACGCAAGGAAACTGTTTTCGTTTGCATTTTATAGTTTTTGTTAGTGTAATGTTCACTATTTTCTTATAAACTGGTACCCAGTTTGTGGACAAAGTATTTGGCTTGCTTTGCACGTTAGGTCGACATTTAACTTTGGCTGTGGTTCCTGTTGTTTCTTCTTTAAACTTGAACCATAAAGTAACAATTTCTTCTCTAGCTGCTGGTTAGGTTAAACTGGTCGATTGTCCTGCTCTGCAGAATTGTCATCTACATTTGACTGCTGACGTTCGATATGTTGCAAGACACCAATAGCTCCATTTACCAACCCATCAGTGACATCTATGTTAGAAGTTATTATGTAGGAATATCCTTCTGCCAATGGCAGCAGGTACGGTGATCCATCGGTTTCTGCCACTGTCATCTTGTGTAGTTTACCTTGGTATTGTCTCTTCTCTTGTTCACTTGAATAACCACGCATAATATCATGTGCGAGACAGTTGTATGCATTTAGAATTACACTTTGGTTGTACGAATCCACTTCATTGTTACTATAATACAGCCTGACAGCATCAGGCACGTTTTCCTTGCACGTATCGGTGTTTATTTGCGTACGGAATGTAGGTCAGTGGGTTGTTATTGTTATTATTGCGCTTGCCGGGCGATCACAGTAACCGGTCTTCGCAGAGTGTTTTCGCGGATGCGCGTGTGTGCGTTATCCGGTGCACTACTGCGATTAGGGAAGGCGGCGGCAGCAGTCCGATTACATGGTATTTTTGTCCCGGGTAATCGCGTGTTGACGTTGGTGGGTGGCGGAGCTGGACGGTGGTGGTGTGACCCTCTCGCGCTCTTGCGTTCCTACCTAATGCCTACCTACGTCGTGTGTGTTTGTTGCGCAGCGCGCGGTGTGGACGGTGCGTCCGTAAGTCGGGCGGCGCGGCCGGTCATTACGTCCTTTATGGTTATGTAATATATTACGTAACGCCGGTTTTTCCTTTACCGCCTGCAAACCACGTTTTTGCCGGATCGCGTTGGTGACTTTTTTCCAAATAGCGCAACGGGGGTTTATTTGGGGGTGGAAGTAAGTGGTAAGAAAGTTTTTTTTACTTACCGGTGATTCCTTTTCGGGGAGCCAGTTGACGCGGACTTGTATAGTGCCGCGTGGACGGTGATGTGGTGGTGGTGACCGACGGTGAGTCTGTCGGTTTAAAATCAAACAACGGAAAAGAAAAAACAACAAAACGGCGCACTGGTGTGACTTTTGACTTTATTGTAAACGAAATAAACGAACATTCAATCTGCTATTGAGAATAAAACGGTTTCGATTACACGGGACGAGTGTGGAGGTCCGTGCGGTTCGGTGTCGAGATGACGAGAGAGCACGTCTTGACAATCCGGTTCGCCGGACGGCCGGCCGACGGTTCCAGGCGCGCGTGTCGCGCGCCGGCGTCGTCCGTCCTTGATTGGCGGTTTGATTGAGAAGCCACGGCGCGGCTTCCGCGCAAAGGCTGTTTGAATTCAAACAGATTTTACGCGGGACCGCGTCAACTATAAGCTATCCATAGAAATGCAGCTGTATCTTATTTCAGCTATCATAAACTAATAATTACATATATAAAAGATATTGAAGAAATATAAATTTTAAAGAGAACGCGATCTTGTATGATTATTGTGACTTTATTATACAAATTCCCACTCAAACCATGGCATTATATTCCCCAATCAAAATCATACTGCAGCTAAGATGTTTACACATCATTCGTGAGTACAATGGCACTCACATGTTTTTTTTTTATTCAATTAATTATTTGAATAATTATAACGAATAATATTATTTGATGACGAATTATTCGAATTATATTTATTTTAATTCGTTATTCGGTCAAATTATTATTCGAATAATTATTCGATAGTTTGCACGAATACAAATCGAATATTATTCGATTGTACAAATTATTCGTTACCGCCCATCTCTAGTTGGTATGTTCGGGGTTAACTCCGAAACTGCTTATCAGATCTTCTTGTTTTTTTTTTTTAAAACGAAAGAGTATATCATGAAGAAGGTTCCTATTGGAATAGCTTCCTACTATCTCCACCCATTTTAGTAGCTAAAACAGGTTTGTTTCGAACTACGATTTATTTTGCAGAACCGCTTACAATCGCACCATGGAAAAAAAACCCTGACTAACCAGAGAATGTCACGAAGAAGTCACTACCTTCGATGAGTGAACCCGTGGAGGTTCAAGATGCTGTAGCATCTACCTTAGCATCGCCATTCGCGCAGCCAATAATCGCTGATTCAAAATTGAAAGCCCAAAAACAACATGAGTACAGACAGCGTATCACAGCATCTAGAACTCCTACTTAGGCGGCTGCTGCGAGAAAATCGAAAAACGAAAGACAACGCAACAACAGATTACGCCAAGTTGCTAACTTGGCTATTGCCAGTATTTCTCTTGAAACGACAACTACATCTCCATCTTATTCAGGGGAAGCGTCGAACAATGGCCAAACTAGAAGTCAACGACAACAAGCGCAACAACAATCTACCACCACTGCAGATCAACCTGATGAGCGTGTCAATCTCACAAATGAGTCACTCCTTCCGGCAATTCCTGTCCCCATGGAGGTTCAAGAAGCTGTTGCATCTACCTCTACCTCATTTGCAGAACCAATAACTGCTGCTCCAAAAACAAGGGCACAAATACAACGTGAGTACAGACAGCGGATTGCTGCATCCAAAACTCCTGCACAGGCAGCAGCTGCAAGAGAAGCACGTAATGTAAGAATTCGAAACAACAAATTACGCCAAGCTGCTAACTTGGTCATTGCCAGTGATTCTCTAGAAGCGACAACTACATCCTCATCTCGTTCAGGGCAAAGGTTAAACACCATCCATATTGATACCCAACGACAATTTGCCGACCAACAACAGTAGTATAAAATAGAGAGTTCAGACCGCTGATCCCATGATCCCATGATCCTCATTATCCCATGATCCCATTGTCCTCCACCGCCACCGCCCGATCGCGCACGTACGCGACGTACATTTTACCCCTCCCCCACCCACCGCTTACGTTCGCGACGTATATTTTACCCCGCCCCGTCATCGTATAACGCATGCGTACAACATATTTTCGCGCATGCGCATATACGAGTATTATGTATGCATCGAACGACCGCTTTGTATATATTATCTAAATTTTTCAAAAATAAATATTGAAAAAAGGCCACAGGTTGGCGCATGGTCCGTGCTCGGATGCGGTCAACAACAGATCAAAGTGTCCCGACATACCCTAGTTATTGTTAACAATGACATTCTTCAACAAGGGTTGTGACTATACCCTTCGTTTTGTATTCATGTAATATCTTAGAACATTGACGGCATGCGACAAGGGTTTTATGAGACCCGAGTCATGTTTATTACTTTTATATGGTGTGTAGTGTGTACCTATTATTATAACTGTACTCGCCACTCGTAATTCGTAAACTCTTTTGAGGGTGGGTGGACCCTAAAAACGTTCACGCCACCACTGGTGACCTAGAAACCCAGTCGTGTTTTTAACGTTGTACCCTTCATTTGTGATATTTATTCCTTTAGATTACTTTTATTTTATATTAACTAAATAATTATATGTCGTATAATTCTCGAAGACGACATCTCACCTAACGAACGAATTTTACAAAATGCGTTAGTGTTAATAATTTTAAATTATTTTGATATATATTTATATATACATATTTTTTTTTATTCAGTGAGATAATTGAGCCGCCGGTCGTTCGGTCAGCTAACCCTGACACTATAATTTATTTAAGACGGTTGTACCATGAACATTCACTTATCCAAAATTCAGGCGAGAGGGCTAGGATATGGTCAGCACATGCGAGATCGCTTTCTCGACGGTGTAATATAGAATTGAGAGTTTTGTGGATGTTGATGAGTGAAAGTCATTATGATCGATCGATTCCTGAAGATGAGGTTATAGTAAGTTTAAACATACGAATATTCAAATATTGTAGATAATATGATTAGATTTACTAATATCAGATAATTTATTATAGATTCAACTATCGTTTCGTGAGTTATTAAACTCATCTAGTACGATCAGGAGGCATACCCAGTACTATATCATCATGCAGTTACTATATGGACTCAGGCGAATTGCGATTTTCGAATCCGAACGCATTAGGGAAAAATTAGAAATGGATTGGACGTTAAATGTCCTAACCATTCTTACCTACTTAGATTTCGACTTCGACACTTCTCGTTTTATACTACATAGAATAAGAAACCTGAACTAAAAATGAACTAATAAATAATATTTTCCTTATAACCATACATCAGTTTATATTATTTCAGAAAAACTA